ATTAATGTACCTCCTCAAAGATGGAGGTGGTACAAATACTTGAAGTTTGAACTGGAAACCTGCATAAAATCTCTACGCATAAACGGATTAAGTGTGGTAATACACACCTACCTGCGCATTGATTAAAGACAAACCCTTTCTTAACTTCTGCTTCGGGCTGCACAAAGAAACTCAATCATTTGTAAGATAATGTCGCTAAAATCTTTGGTCGTGGTAAATTTTGAGAAATTCGTCATGTATTACAAGCTGCAGGCGAAGTGCATTTCCTCTGGATCGGTGCAGATACTTGGGTCCGGCTTGTGACTTCCAGGCAATGTTTGCCAAACTTTTGTCTCCTGGAATCCATTTGTCATAGTCAGTGTTAGATCAATTCACTTCCCACCCTTGAATCAAGTCAACCTGTCCCGGATCAGCCTAGCGTTGTTGCAACCCAATTATCCATGCCTAACGTGTCTATCCCCCCTTGTCTAATGAACTGTGTGTATGTGTTTTTACATCGACCCGTTTAGTCAGACCGTTGAACTCATGGCCCAATCAGAGTATTTTGTGAACTGTTATTTTTGCTGACCCATGTTTTACTTCGTACTGTTCTGTCGAGTTTATCTTATTTATTGATCTTCATCTGTATCAGCCTACCTGGTTAAGTAGCCAATTAAATTCTATCTTTGTGCCTATGCTCTGTCTATCTCTTAACCGCTCTCTGTTCTATAGCCTGCCTCACTTGGGTTCACTCTTCTACTGACTGCTTACCTGAACGGTCGTGTCTGATTCGGGCTAGTTCGCAATTTGTGCTTTAGCGTTATTGCGCCCTGATAGCGGTACCTTGCTTTCTGTTAAGCGTTGTGCTTTGTACTCTTGAAACCGTTAAGGTTTGTTGTATGTATAATTATTGATTTGTTCATTAATAGTACCGTAGAAATAGTGACCGGTTTCTTGTTTGTTCTGGACCGGGATAGCCTTTATCTACGCGTGACTTAATTTCAAGCCATATTGCGCTTACAGTAAGGTTCACATCCTAGGTTTTCGGAGATGTACAGTGTTTTATCCAACGATTACTAGACTGCTCTCAAGAAGTGGGGCTTACAACTAATTCTGTGTCTTTCTACCACAGTTTGAGGAGACCATCTAAGATTTACCAGCAACTAATTCCCCTTGTCTCCATTTGTAGTACACTGTGTGTACAGACGAAAAATATATTTAAATACTTTTTATTATTTAAATATTTTATTATAGCTTGATTCCACACAGTATTTTGGTACAAGTGTGAAATTTTCAGCCTGTGATATCGGTAGCCCAAATTTAGCAGGACGAACATAGATATCAGGTGCGCGTCGGCGAGGGATCGAGCCTCGGACCATGTGCATGGTCGGCGAGAGTCCTAACCGCTGTGCCACCGACGCACAGATGCTCACCATGCGAAACTTCTCAGCAGATATTAAGTTCTAGTGTTAGACATCTTGCAGATATCTCTTCCAAAATATTCAGTCGTTAAATCCGACTTTGCGTGTTGTGACTACACATGCCTATACTAGTGGACTAAGTATTGCCGAATGAAAGTCAAGAAGCCTACCTGATGGCCCACTGTCTATCTCTCTCTGATTTCAGATGCTCTGTTGAAAACCCGAATGTTTCCAGCTTTTAGCAATTCTTAGGATAACAGTTTATCTGTGTAGTGGCGAACCATTTAATAAAGTCGACACAGTTAACCACGTGAATTAACTGCTCAGGGAGTACTAAGAAAGGTGTCTGATTAATACTGGTTAAACCGGTCATTATTTTTCAGTTAACATCATCACAAACAAGCACGTTGAAAACTGTAGGTGGTGTTACAATCCCAGAGTGTAGTATTATATATTTCGATTGGTTCAGGTCCTTTTTGCCCATCAGTAGGATTACTCATGCCCGTTAACTTCACTGTTTTCGTTTTGATGCTATCTTTCTTCAATGTAGCACTATGGCATTTGTCTTGTTTACAAGGAATCTATGAGTCAATGAGACTTCCTTTTGCCAGCTCAAGTCTCAGAGCACGGTCATTAAGGCAAATTAGGCACACATGCCGGGTAAGGAAAGGGTTGCCATTTTTGAGAAACCGACTTTACTATCAAAGTAGTCTTTCCCATATCCGTCATCCGACAATATTGTAGCAAGATATTGATGCTACTAAACCTTCATTTTCGAGAAAGCATAGCAGTGGGCATTTGAAGGGGGTGTTAATCGCGACAGATAGATAACTGTATGATAAACAGCCAATCAATATTATGTGACCTTTTTTGTCGCGATTATTGGTCGATTTATTGTAACTCTCACCACGTGATGACCTTGAATGTTCTTTTTTTGTCTGTCACTTTACTTGTATATACATGTAATTAATTGACTGTTCATTTTGTCCGTACCTTCAATACTGTTCGGTACGTTTTTGTCCTATTTTTGTAATGACAATGGATTTGTACATTTTTCTTGGTGTAATTGTATGGTTTATTTTATGTTTTAGAAACAGATAAAGTTAAAGTCAAGTCATTCTGTTTTTAACTATAGCTAAGCCGAGACTCTGTATCGTCAGTATTGAGGGAGGACTAAATCTGTAGGACAAAATTAATCCTACAAAGTTTCGAACAGTATTGCAGACGAAAGTTTCGAAGAGTATGTCAGACAAAGGTTATGAAACTATGCCGTCGTTAACTCCACAGTTAGGAAAGAGTAATGAAGCTGATTTCCCTGGAAGCAATGAGGATAAATCACGCTGTATGATAGAATTGGAGCTAGCGAAATTGCGCATAGTCCAAAAGGAGAAAGAAATGGAATTAGAAAGATTACGACAAGGTAGTCGCGAATGTTCTTGTCACAATAAATCGCCTTACAAACCTTCTACTTCCCATAAAGTCGCTGTATCTCTTAATGATGAGTCCGCCAGAACCATATCTAAGTTTCTGGACATGCTTAAAGGATATCAATATTTTAAGTGGAATGCCGATGAGCTTGAGTGTTGGATCAATGAAAAACTGCAAACATATACAAATGAGGATTTTAAAGAACTCAGTAATCTTCAGCTGAAAAAACAGAAACATCAAGAGTTTGAGTTCGAAGTAACAGTTCATGCTGAAACACTCTCAGCTCTAGATTCTACGGGAGAAGAAATGATTGGTCAGGGGTACTACGCAACAGATATTATCAAAAACCGTCTTGATGAATTGCATGCCCTGTGGGAAAGGCTTATGGCTATTTTCAGAGAAAAATCCAGTGTCATTAACCTAAAGCTTAAATTTGTCCAGTTTTCACGCCAAGTCGACGAGATACTTTTCTGGATACGTGAAAGAGAAACATCAGGGGATTTCGGTCAAGACCTGGAACATGTTGAGACACTTCAAAAAAGGTTTGATGAGTTTACAAAGGATCTCGAGTATCAAGAAAGTCGTGCCGAAGACACCTATCGGAAGGCAGATGAACTTCTAAAAGAGGAATTTCCTGAGGATGCTATAGTCATAGAAAAGTCCAGAGAGGTCCGCGAAGCTCTAGAACGTCTGAAGGACCTGGCTAGAAAGCGACAAGAAAAGCTCCTTGAAGCCTATGAGATGCAGTGCTTCTTTAGAGACATAGATAGAGCTATATCGTGGGTGAATGAAAAGTCTATTACCTTATCCATTGAGGACTGTGGTCGTGATCTTGCCTCAGTCCAAGCCTTACAAAGGAAGCACGAAGCATTAGAAAGGGATTTGACTGCCCCAGATGAAAAGATTGTTCGACTTGGAGATGAGGCTAAGGCGCTTGCACAGAAGCATCCTGATTCGCAAGACACTATACAAGGCAAGTATGACGCCTTAATCACTGCATGGGATAAGCTGAAAAGTCAGGCTGTAGATAGGAGAGGTAAACTGGAAGAGTCATTCAAGATGCATCGCTTTTCGGCTGACTGGAGAGACTTGAGTATCTGGATGAATGACATGAAGACGTTAATGTTGGCGGATGATTTGGCAAAGGATGTAGTTGGTGCTGAAGCCCAAGTAGAGCGACATAAGGAATACACCGCTGAGATAAATTCTCGAGCTGAAAGTTTCGATACATGCATGCAAGAAGGTCAGGCATTACTAAGTGTTGGCCATCCCTGTAATGGAGACATAGCTGCTAAACTTTCCACCCTTGAAAGAGAGAGAGCCTCCTTGATGCAGTTGTGTGAGGAAAGACATGAACAGCTAGAACAGTGTATGGGCCTTCAGTATTTTTACCGCGACGCTGAACAGTCGGAATCTTGGATTGGTAAGCAAGAGGCCCTCTTAGAAATAAATGATGTGGGAGACTCACTCGATTCTGTGGAAGCACTTATAAGGAAACATGAAGACTTCGAAAAGTCACTTTTAGCACAAGAAGAAAAGATGCGACAACTTGATGAATTCGCTGCAAAATTAATCGAGTCAAACCAGTATGCGGCTTCACAGGTTCATGAGATTCAGGAAGGTCTTCAAAGTAGACGAAATGCATTAAAGGAGAAAGCTCAGAACCGCCGTCAGCGTCTTGAAGATTTCCACCGTTACCAAATGTTCGATAGAGATGCAGATGAAATGCAGTCATGGATATCAGGAAAACTTAAATATGCACTTGATGAAAGTTACAAAGACTCCACGAATTTGCAAACAAAGATGCAGAAGCACCAGAATTTCGAGGCAGAAATACAAGCGAACCAATCCCGCGTCAAAGATATTAAAAAGACAGGTCAGGATTTGTTAAATGCAAACCACTACAACTCGCCAGAAATAAAAGTAAAGATTGAACAGTTGGATGAAACTTGGTCTCATCTCGTAAATGCCATGGGAGACAAGAAGAAAAATTTAGATCAAGCAAGTAGTCAACAACAGTTCGCTCGTAACGTAGATGTCAAGTTATGGTTGAATTATGTTGAAGCTCAGATAGCCTCAGAGGATGTCGGTCGTGATCTAAACGGTGTGATGAACGCACAAAAGCTGCACAACTTGCTTGAATCTGATGTAGCTACTCATCGTGAACGTATAGATGCATTCAAAGTCCAGGATGACACGCTTGCTGCAGAAAGTCATCTCGACGCTCCTATTATCCAAGGAGAACAAAGACAGTTAGCCCAACGTTACCATGACCTGCAAATCCCTCTAAGTCAACGTCGTGAGAAGTTAAGAGATGCCCTTCCCTCGGACACATCTTTGCAGCTTGAATATGGTGACTGTAGTGAGCTGATGAAGTTACTAGTCGATTGTTGTAAAGATTTTAAAGCACATTCGCTTAACCAAATCGAATCAGAAATGTGGCATCAGTATGCTGAAAGCTTCACTACTGGCTCAGTAGCCACTCACAAAGATGCCTTCAGGTTATGTGTTAAAGATAAGAACCCTGTTGTTGAAAACTATGTTGGTTTTATCGAGTCGTACCGTGATCCCTTTGGTGTTCGTGCAAGGTTTGAATCATTTGTCGCTGTTGTAAATAGATCAGTGTCTAAAAATTTCCAACGACTTGTAAATAATGCTGAAAGGTTGTTAACAAGTTTACCATGGCCTTCTACGTTTGAAAAAGTTAATTTCTCACAGCCAGACTTTACTAGTTTGAATGTGGTTACGTTTGCAACTGCTGGGATTCCTGTTGGAACTAATACTCCTAACTATGATGATGTACGACAAGTTGATGGATTTAAAAATGTTTCTTTGGATAATGTACTTAGTGTTCGTCTCGAGGATCCTAAACCAGAATTTCTACGTAATGAAGACAAACAAATGTACGTGGAACGTGCTGAAAGTTCCTTTGAATTACAAGTTGAACTTCATGAACTGATGGGATATAGTTCTGGTAAACTGTTTCGGCGTGCTTGTTATGGAAAACGAAATTTCCACACGAAAGCTACTGAATATGTCATAAATGCAGATCCTGTAAAAGGTTGGTGTGAAGCAGGAGAAACGTATGACAGCAAGTTTTCAAACCTTTCATCTGCAATAGACAAGTGTCAAGCTGAGTGCGTTGGAATTTATTTATCTAATTTACCTCTTGTTCTGGAGCAGTTCGGTCTGAATACCAACTGTGCTCAAGGCAATGTCTCAGATGCAGTCTATATTAATTGGTTGTCAATGATTCCTTCAGTTGTAACTTCCATGGAGTTTTATTCTCCAGCAGAAAATGCTGATGACATTGGATCATGGTGTCAAGCACATTATTGTGCTCGTTATGCGATTCTGCAAGTTTTGATTGAAGCTGACGATTCTATGGGACGTACGCATAAAGTAGTTGGTGAGGACGATGCATCTGATTTGTGTATTTCCTTAGTTCCAAAAAGGCCTTTAACGTCGGCTCGTTCAGCAATTGGTGAATTCTTAAGAAAATTACAGTATTACAAAGGTAAAGCGAATGCTATGTATGGATATGCTTTCTCCCAACACTATAGTCAACTACTTCCAAAATATTTGACTGATTTGCTCTGGCATAAATGGCTACGTGGATATCTTCTGATGCTGCAAACAAGATCTAAGTGGTTGGATATAAAGCACAACCTACAACCTGATGATCTCGTCTTAGTTAACAGTGCTGACACACAGAGAGGTCTCTGGCGAAAGGCTATAGTTAAGCAGATGTACTATGACCAAGATGGCCACGTCAGGACACTGTGTTTGAAAACTTCAGCTCAAGAAGTGGAACAAGATATAAGAAGCGTACGAAAGGTCAACGTGGTGATCGTTCGCGGGGAGTGTTAATCGCGACAGATAGATAACTGTATGATAAACAGCCAATCAATATTATGTGACCTTTTTTGTCGCGATTATTGGTCGATTTATTGTAACTCTCACCACGTGATGACCTTGAATGTTCTTTTTTTGTCTGTCACTTTACTTGTATATACATGTAATTAATTGACTGTTCATTTTGTCCGTACCTTCAATACTGTTCGGTACGTTTTTGTCCTATTTTTGTAATGACAATGGATTTGTACATTTTTCTTGGTGTAATTGTATGGTTTATTTTATGTTTTAGAAACAGATAAAGTTAAAGTCAAGTCATTCTGTTTTTAACTATAGCTAAGCCGAGACTCTGTATCGTCAGTATTGAGGGAGGACTAAATCTGTAGGACAAAATTAATCCTACAGGGGGAACCAGTCAAACCTACAGAAGGAGCATCCATTATTCAGTAGATAGACGGAACCCTGCAAGTTATAGAGAAGACATAGTATATACTTGGTTACCCACCACTTCCTTCTGAGTTCCGAAATCCTTTGCTACATCTGTTGCAAGAGCCCAAAAATTTAAAATAAAGTCTCAGTACTGAGCCGGTATCTTTAAAACAGTTCAGGTACGTCTACTTCCAACAGAACTTTCACTTGACAGCCCCTTTTTGTTCGGGGAAGAGTTGCTTTCGGGGGTCGCATTTATATTCTCGCGATATATTTCTTCCAGAAACTTACTTTAATTTTTATTTCAGCTTTCACCGTTGGCGATTTGCTATGGAGCTGTTGCCACAGTGCCCAACAGATTTGGAAAATTACCTTTCTTTCTCCGAAATATGTTCCATTGAGAAGTCGGGATGCTGTTACCGCTGAACAGAACATCAGTCCTGGTGAAACTAGGGTCTAGTCAGTGGCTTGTCATAGAACTGTAGATATTGTCTGTATGTATACAGGCGGAAAAATTATAACATGGAGAGGGAATAAAGATGCAAGTTAGGAAAATGGTGAAAACTTTCATTGCGAAGTCAAGATCTTCAAGTTTGAATTATCATCTAAGTGTCTTAGTGGAATTCCTAAAGCTTACTCACTAATCCCGATTCTGAGACTAATGAGAGATGTAATGATGAGCCTCTAAGGGCAGGTTCAAAGAATAGCCACGGCACAGGTCAGGTGTGCGACAAAAATTTAAAGTGCCTGGGTTCGAACAAGAAGTCCTACGGGTTCCAGATTTACTGTAGAAACTCCATATTAGTTTGTTCGAAACGTCATCCAGTAAATAATACTGTTTCACTGTGTGATATATCTAACAAACAAATTAATATGGAATTGCTTACTATGACAGTGCTCACGTTTTACACATATATTGCTATAGAAACAACGAGCACACAAATAACCCATAGCTGATAAGCCTCTCACCCAGGTGGATGGAATTTATTAGTGATTAGTGACCAACAAGCCCGGTGATAAAAGTGGTTGTTTGTAAATAAACCACGTCTTTCTTATTCATTTTTAGAATCATGTTGCACACAAGTTGAAATGGGATAAACGAAGCGCTTCTGCTCTCATTTCTGCATGGTGACGAAACTCATGTTCATGCGAAAATATTGACTTTTTCTTGCTTGATATGCGCGATCTTTGACTATTTCAGAGTAACCTCTCGATCGCTGAAGTATTACAGCTCGTACGGCTATCGATACATCAGCAGCAGGTTTATACCAATAGTTCTTTAAATTAGACTTCGCGGTATAACACAAGAGGATTTCATGTATTCCACAAAACTGGTTGTACACCAGAAAAGCATGTCACGGTGCGTTACATTTTTATTATTATCTGGTCTCCCTGTGAGAAGGACATCCAAGAAGATATCTTTCCCTTGGTTTCTTTCTTCACACCAGAATTTTGAAGCTGGGTGTTGCTAGTTGAACTGATCTGCTAATGCTAGTCTCTGTCAATCATTTCCAGGAAAGCTGAGTGCGTTGTAGTGGTGAATAATCCCCCGAAATTACTAGCCCACATCATTGTTCATTAAACATTGGGGGCTGACCTCAGCTTTTTAAGTCAACCCGTTAAGCTGAAGGTTCGCAGTCAACCATCCACTTAATTTTGAAACGCTGTCGTGTAGCGTTCAGTCGGTGGTGCACAGTCCTTAGTTAGCTAAGTAGTCCTCTTAGCAATACAATACTAGTCCCAAAAATATCTCTCTCATTTGCAGTGTTTTGATTTGTCTTTAGTCCAAGAGGAACAAGTGCGATAGGAGTTGGCGAATAAGAACGTGTGTTTGTATACAGTGCACTTTGCGTAGACTCCCCTTTCCTTGCTTGAACTATCATTTATACATCAGTAATGAAATGTGAATCCTCCCACAAAGTTGTTTAGAAGAACATTCTGTAATTTGGTTGGATAGAATCCTGCTGACATAGGACCCACTGAGGAGCCTATCGCCAGCCTATCCGACTGTTTGTAGAGTTCATCATCAAATAAAAATTTACGTTCATGGTCAACCATAGCATCAGTTCTTTAAGGATCTCTATCGAAATCTCAATATTTATTGTTTCATTACTTATTTCCTAACTTACGTTGCTAACCGTTGCAATTCGAGAAGCATTGTTGAATGGTGATACCTTTGGTATTATTATTTCGAAATGTGTCTATGAATCTGAATGCATCTTTCACACTATATTTCTCTATCAGTTCGTGCAAAAGCCGAGAACCATTCAGTTGAAACATAGTATGGAGAATTTCACATGTCCCGTGTTTCGTCTACGTCTGATTATTTCATTCCAGATATATCAATTGTCTGATTAACCCCATCTCTAACATATGTTCAAACTCAGACTTAACGGCTTGGAGTTTTTCTGGTGATAACCGCCGTGGTTTTGTAGAAACAGGTGGGCCGGCCGTTATGATGTGATGAGTGACGTTAGAAGTCACGCGTGGAATTTCAGGAGCCAGTTTGAAAACATCAGAAAAAGACTGAAGGACGTCATAGTATGGGCCAGCCGTGACAGGTGTTGAGTACACTGAGCTTATGAAGTGGCTGTGCATGACAATACGGGGGACAGAAAGTCTTGTGGTAGAATCTATCAACGTATGCTTACCAGCATCGACAAGCAACTGGTAGTACTATAAGAGATCCATACCAATAATGTCGGTGGGCACGTCAGCCACAATGAAGATCCAACGGAAAGAACGGCGAAGTCCGACGTTGAGGTGGGGTAATCTCCGACCGTATGCTGCGGTAGGCGAACCGTTGGCGGCACGGAGTTGTAGGGATGTTGGCCGCAGACGCTCGTCTGGTGTAGGTGGGATCACACTAGCTTCTACCCTGGTATCAACCAAGAAACGTATCCCAGAATGACGACCTGCGATTTAGGAGAGGCGGCAAAGATGTAGTTGGCCAGCGACGTTAGTCACCATTACGTGCTGGCTCATGCATTTCCCGACTACTCGGCATCAAAGGTGCAAGCGCGAGTGCACCTTTGGGCATTAGCACCATAACGTCGGTGGTACCAGCACAGTGCAGTCGGGGAGTTTCGTGACTTCGGGTGCCTATTGCCAGTACTCGAGGAAGACCTATTACTAGATGGGTCTGTGCGACTACAGGCCTGAATTCTGGCTCTCACCTCTCTTCTGAAGCTACAAATCTCGTCAAGCTTGGTGATATGAGCCACTGAGTCAAACCTTGGTGACTTACCAGCAGAAGGATCCTCAAATTGGGCAGGACCGTCAGAAACCGAAGCCGAAACGCCCACTCTGGCCTTAGTGGACTCTGCAGCCCTGTCGGCCTCCTGTGCTAACTGTAGTTAAGGAGAGTTGTGAAATGCTGCTCAGATACCCTGAACTGATTGAAGCAATCTTTGCAGACAAACCTGCTTCAGAAAGGCGTCATCGATCTTGAAACCAACCATTTGCCTAAGCATCTGTGTGGACCTAGGGTCGCCAAGATGAACAACAAGAAAGAGCTCTCATACTTTCTGTTGATCTGTTAGTGCCACCCTCTTAATTAGGGCAACTTTGAGACCATCGAACAGGTTTGCAGATGGATCATCAAGAATGTCAGAAACTTCCGTCACGATGTTTTCGGGAGGCTCACAATAACCAGGTCGGCCTTAGTTTCTTTTGAGTGAATATGTCTTAGAGCAAACTGAGCCTCCACATGACTGAACCATGCAGAAGGGCAGTGTCTTCAGAAAGTCGGAATCTGCAGGGTTATGGCCATCTGTGCAGGAGAGCCGTTTTCAGCCGTCACTTAGATAAGTTGTAGGCAAATTAAAATAGACGAATATTATATAAAATAAAAGAACACAAACACAACAATAATAGCATCAATGGGTGGGGCAGAAACTACGACAAGACGCCAAATGAAGCAAAGTGTTTGAGAAGAGGAAGGGAAGTTGGCTTTGGGCTCACCACTTGTAAGTGCCCAAGGCTAACCTCTAGATCGGCCTTAACGTCAGCACCTACTAAACTTGCTTTCCTCGGTTAACCCTGATCAGTACACTACCTAACCTGTATGTACTGATGAATGAAGTCAAATAAAAGGTGATGCACTATTGTGTGCCCAGATACGAATTATATTGATACATTAAGCGAAAAACCAAAACTAATCTGTAGCAATAGTGTACTACTTGTCTGTTAACTGGCTGGGGTAACAAGCTCGAAGAGTGCGCCTAATGATACCAAAACGAGGGAGTGAGCCCCATGCGAGCAGTCACGCCGGAAGAATAAAGACGATGTGGTGCCATATTACATGAATGCGTTAAAGCAAAAGTTCAAACACTCAAGGTGCACTACACTTTAATATCATCACTTCTGTAAAAGACAACTACTCTTGATCCGTTACCAGGCTTTGTAATTACAAGTCTTTTCGCTATTTATCAGTCTGCTTAGTTCCTTTACGTGTTCTCTTGTCAAGAAACTTCTACAGTCATATTTGGTGTTTTTATATTGTCAATAACAATCTGATTCACAGGATTCGAAGTGTTCTAGTTTCACGTTCGAGGATGGAACTAGATCCTCTTTTATGATTATATAGGTTTCCTAGCTCAAGGTTCTTTCTTGCTATACACTTTCAAAGTCGTATAGAAAAGAGCTCTGGAATGTAGGCTACCCGGTAAATCAGTTATATGAAGAATAAAAAACAAACACCGATAGGATAGTTTTATTCAAACGCCAAAAAGATATTAGCCTCTGTTTAGTGTTCACTTGATTTTCTTTGGGAATATAATTATTTTCATATATATATTTATTTACATGGTGGGCTATAATCCAGAATAATAGTATTTTGTTTGCTCTACCTGAGATGACTTAC